CTCCATTAGCTCTGTTGAACGGATTCATACATTCATCTCATACTACATCCACTACCCGTATACACAACTCATGCATACACAAACACTTCTCACACAAACACTCCTCCCACACACACGCACACACACACAGGCACGCATTCAACATACAAACGAAATTTATTCAGATATATTAATATATTCCATTACATACAATTCACAAAAAGCATTTTTACACATCCACACACACACACCACACACACACACACACCACACACACACACACACCACACACACACACACATATATATATAAACACACACACAGACACACACACACTATTCGTCATACATATTACAGAGTTTTTCGCATGTAAAGATTCTCCACTGAACCTCTTGGTCTCTGGCGTTGAAAATTATCCTATTTCTTAAGAAAAACAAACACGGCGTGACTTTAATATAAACATGTCGTTTAAAAACAGAAATAATAAAATTGACATTTTCTTTTTTGTCTTTTCTGTTTTTTTACCTAAAAAAATTCGCGACATTGTTTAGATTAAAAAAAATTTTTTTTTTCTAATAACGAGTAAGACGACGGAACACAGAAGCGAAAAATGGCACCCGACTTGATACATGGTGCGGTTGAGATGAGGATGATTTTTCATCTTTGCGTCGGGAAAAATTGAAATTAAAAATAGTTTTTGTCTCCCTAAACTTGCAAAGTCGACGAAAAAAATTTTTTTTTGTATTACGAAAAACATGAAAAAATATTGAAAAAATGTTTTATGGGATAGATATTTTTTAAAAATGTTTTGTTTTCCTAAAAATAAATCCCAAATAGTAATAAAATTTTTACGAAACAACACAGTGATGGATTATTTTAGTCATAAAGATGATGATAGCCAAAAACTCATTACTGAAACTTTTTGTCACACATAGTAATTATATTCCAAAACAGTTTTCAAATCAACAATTCTCATCAATTTTTTTAGTTACAAAATCACACACACACAAACAGACACACAGACACACACTCACACACACACACATACAAACATTGCAGATAATGTATACATATACAAACGTTGTATATAAACATAAAGTATATACCAAAAGTATACATAGACAAACGTTGTATATATACATAAAGTATATACCAAAATATACATATTCAAACGTTGTATATATACATTAAGTATATACCAAAAGTATACATATACAAACGTTGTATATATACATAAAGTATATACCAAAAGTATATATATACAAACGTTGTATATATACATAAAGTATATACCAAAAGTATACATATTCAAACGTTGTATATATACATTAAGTATATACCAAAAGTATACATATACAAACGTTGTATATAAACATAAAGTATATACCAAAAGTATACATATACAAACGTTGTATATATACATAAAGTATATACCAAAAGTATACATATTCAAACGTTGTATATATACATTAAGTATATACCAAAAGTATACATATACAAACGTTGTATATATACATAAAGTATATACCAAAAGTATACATATACAAACGTTGTATATATACATAAAGTATATACCAAAAGTATACATATACAAACGTTGTATATATACATAAATATATACAAAATTATATTTGGATGCGTGAGTGTCAAGTTTGGAAATTTAATGAACCGTTGAGTTTGACCAAGCGTGTAATAACAAAACTATAGAAATACCCATCCAGTCGTAACTGTGAATAGTCGCTTGGATGTTTGTATTAGGCAAATGAATGTTTGTATTCTCTATAATACAATTGCTATTTTCCGGTATTATTTCGGTATGTAGTGAACATAAAACTTTTCGCTATGATACGGCGTGATATGTTGTGAATAGTAAGACCATGCAAACGTTTAACTATGTAACACTTTGAAAAAAGCCGATCGTATGTATGTTTAAGTTTTAATTTTAGTATTTAAATTAGTTTTAAGTTTTAATAATAATTGGTGTTTGTTGTTAATAATTGATTCGAGTGGAACTAAACATGATAATTTTTTCAAAAAATTTGTCAATTGTATGACGCAGTTAAATGGATTTGAATGTGGCATGACTTAGGTACGGAGAAGAGAATAGATACATTTAGAAAAATATGTTTGTGTATGTACTCTTTTTTCATGTTTCAGAATAAAATGTATATGTGCATGTAGAAAATGAACGAGCCAGATATTGATAACCAAGCCAACGCTGATTTGAATCTAATCTAGGCTGACGAGTCACGTATAAAATGGAACTTTTCGGCACCTCTCGTAAAAAAAATAGGTCCTAGTTTGTGTGTGTGTGTATGTGTCTGAGTGTGTGTGTGTCTGTGTGTGTTTATGTGCGTCTGTTTTTTAAAGCGTTTGTATGTGTGAGATTTTTTCTTTTTGAGATGAAACCAATTGTCTGAATTTTCAAAATTCTATCAGTTCTTCTGAATAATTCATTCATTCCCAAATTGTGTTAGGTGTTATAAATGAGTGGCTTGAGTATGGCGTTTGAATATACTAACGTAGCTGTAAAATGTGAATTTTTTTTTAAATAATTATTGATATAGGCATCACTTTAGCATAAGAATTTATTAAAAATTTTGTGAAAAATATTTCCATACACTCTTTCATTCTGTTTACTTTATTTATAATTCATTAAGCAGGCGTTTTTCTAAAAGCCTTAATCTATTTTTGAAGTTTTATTTTTGGATTATTGATTAAAAATTCTTAAAAAAAGTGAGTCAACATCTAATTAGAACTGTTTTAATAAGATAAAAAAAATACGAAAAAAAAATCTTTTTGACGTTTGTATGGCCAAACCTTAGCTTAAATGGTGACAAGATTGTCACATTGAAATGAAAATAAACTTCACCATGGATCTCTTTTTAGCCAGTTTGCAGTTGCAGAAATGCCTTTTCGCCACCTAAAAAACAAAAAAAAGTTAAAAACTGGCATTTGCCTCACATGCGTATAACTGGAATGAAATCAGTGAAGGAGGTTGAAAATTTGAAGAAGAAAAAAATTTTTTGTGCGTGGGATTTAAAATTAAAAACTAATGGAATAAAAAAAATTTACAGTAAGAGTTAGAAATAAGAATGTTGTTTGTACCTTGAATTGTCACGGAAAGAAGAAAGATGAAAATGAAAGAAAGAGATAAACTTGGATAAAAAAAAAGTGTGTTGAAAAGAGAGAAGAAAGAGCAAGAGAGAGAGAGAGAGAGAGAGAGAGAGAAAGACAGAAAAAGAGAAAGAAAGAGAGAGAAAGAGTGTGATGTGTGCGTATAAAAATTATAGTAAATTTCAACGGGGGTATAAATCAAAGTTTAAAAATGATGAGAAAAAAATATAGAAAGAGAGAGGTGATAAAAAAGATATAGAACAGAGCGGAAAAAGATTTTAAGAGCTAGAAACAAAACTTTACAAAAATTTATATCTACGAAGTAAAATATTATCGCAGACAAGTTGGTATAGAGTAATAATTGAAAATGATTGTTATAAAAATGAATAAAAAAGAATCGGCAGAAGGATAATTTTTTTAAAAATGTGAATGAAATTTATATGAAGACTTATTTTCTCCTCCCAATTCCATGAGTGGATCATCTGCAAAGGTCAAATCTTCTACATCTTGTAAGAGTGTTTATCGTTGCATTCATTTTTTCTATTCTTATTCATTTTTTAAATGTTTTTTTTTTATTAGTTTTCAGAAGCCGCAGTAAAAAACAGGTAAAGTATGTAGAACAAATAAACGTTAATCAATGTATCACACACTTCGCATGTGATTGGTGGGGATGTAGTTGCTTTCAAACCCGGTAATTAAATCCACAGTGCCGAGCACCTTAATCCTTGTACCATCGTGCCGATGTATCAGCTGGATATAAAATTGTTTGTAAAAATCATATAAGTAGCTCTATTCGCATTGTCATTCCCAGACTTTTGAAAATTTTTTCATTATAACAAGATTTTCATTACTTTTAAGAATTAAAATTTTTTTATTTATAACAAATTCATTATCATATTTCTCAGAAGTATCACCATCCACCACTTACCAACATATTTTTTTCAAACTCTCACATTTAAAATCATTTCAAAGTTTTAAAATTTTTTTTTCAAAATTTTTGTGGAAAGAAAGAAAAAAAACTTACTTTTCCTTGAAAATTCATCAAGTTCTTATTAAAGCAAACTTCGAGAATGCTAACACATCATGAAAGCTTACTTCATAATTGACTGTAGAATTTTCCGTGGGAGTATAATTGCGCTACGAAATGCGCTTTCGAATTAGCTCATCTTGAGACTTTAAACGTTGGAATAATTATGGCGAAATTTGACATCAAATAATTTCATAATTTCTCTATATTAAATTTTTTTTAAATAGTTTTCAAAGGCGCCAACAACAAGTGCAGACGTAAATCAATGATTCTTCTATATTGTCGCACAATAAATTTTTTTTATGCTATATTATGCCATATTGTATATGTTTATGTGTCTTGCATGTACTTTACTAATGAAAGAAAAAATCTTTTACAGCTTACGTCATGACGTAGATAAAAAGCTACATCTATTAAGACCTTTCATTTGATAGTTTAGCGGCAAATCATAAGAATGCATGTTAGACCGATAATAATAATTTTTGCAGTACGTGCCGACATCCATCTTAAAATGTAAAATTACTTAACTAATGCGATCTTCAACTCATGGTTCGAAATGTCATGTATAACATTTTCAGTGAATTCGTTTTTAATGTGCTTGTTTGTATGCTAGCCTGGTACATACATCTTACATAGCTATCGATTCAAATGTAAATTTTTTTTATGAATTGTTGGAAAAATCAAATCGTACAACGTCAGATAAGCAGTTTGTATTGGTTGAGAGGGACAGACACGCTCGGGCATCAATATAAATATGTTTTTACACATAGAGGCTTAGGTTTTAATCAGACGACAATGCTGATTCTACCCACAATTTATGTGATGCGCCACTTTTTTCTGATAGCTTTTCAGACCGGTAATAAATCGAGCACTTAATTTATATTTTTGTTATGGATATCTTCTTCTTCTCACTGGACTGATTGTGTTTCTGCTGGTTTTGCGTGCATTGTTGTCGCCTGTAATGTATAAGATGCATGTGTGTTTATTAATTTCTGAGATGAATTAGGAGATAGCTTTCTTCTGTTAACATGGCATCTTTATACGGCTTGTTTGTGACTGTGATGTAGTATTTTGCGCCGGTTCCATCTTATTTTTCGGTAGGTTTATATCAGTAGTAATGAGATTAAGGTAAGATATCCCGATAGAAACACTGTCATCGTCCCATTCTTATCCGTATCATTCAATC